CTCTCTCTTTTATTCTTTATTCATCCATTCATTCATTTAGTAAAATGAAGGGATTGTCCTACTGATCTCTAAGAACTAATCCTTCTTTAGTAGTCTGAGTCATAGTCAAAACTTCAGAGATAGAGTCATGTGTATTACATACATAAATAAGATACATTTTTTTTGTCTCCTGGCTTCACTGTGCATGTAGCTTAAGTACAGGGAAATAATTTGTCACAAATCGTCCTCATTGTAAATAAACTAACATTCTGAAGTCTGGTTTTGTGTGCATTTAACTTCTTGAGAACCTGCTAAGATTGCGTTTTAGAGCTTTCAAAACAGGTAACCAGCTCTTTCAATGTATCCTGGCCAGTCATTGCCATCTGTCTTATAAAACACTACTGCTATCACTTTGATCCACAAATCATTACTGACTGACTGGCATGAAAATTAGGTGTGCAACCTATTAGCTCTTTTGAACTTGAGCTGGTCATGTAACCTCTCTGGATATGGGTTTCCTCATCTATAAAATATGGATGGTAATTCCTATCTTCCTCACCACTATGTGAAAACACCCTGTAATCTATGCTACGTAGATGGAGAGTATCAGCCATTCTCTGTCCATCCATTTAATTATTATTTATTCAGAACCAACTTAATTTTGGTAATGCTTTAGTCTAGTAATAAAAGGAAGAGAATAGTCTTTCTCTGTACATAAGTGAAAAACAAGTAAATGCAATATAATTTGATAAGAATATGTCAGAGTACTATAATAATACTAAGGCGGAACTGCCTAACCCTGCCTGAGCTGGCCAGAGAAGCCTTCATAAAGTGACATTGGGGCAGAGTCTGGAAAAATCCATAGGAGTTTGACAAGCAGACTTTGACAAGCAGATTTAAGGGTTTTACACCTGACCTATAAGCCGGACACTCCTAAATCAACATCACCAACTTGAGTCAATCATTTGTGCCCACCACGTTCCTGTTCCATAGTTAGCCTAAAGTGATTTCACTCTCCCAGGGGAAGGAAGAACCCTGAAAGAGAGACAAAAATTGTAATCTCCAGAAGTTCCCGTTTTCTTAGTGCTTTGTGTGTTTGGCCTCAGGGTTCTTAGCAGTAAAAGCATATTGGACTATAGATGGAAGCAATAAAATACCAGTAGTGCTGAGAAGAAAATAAGAGTTCTGATTCATGTGCCACAAAAAAAAAATTACTTCCAAATGAGCTCATAGTTTCATTTTGGGAGATCTATTTGGCATGCATAGCATAAACAAAATGCACATACCAAAAAATCTTCTTCAGAGAGATATCCTCTAAAGGATGGGGAAAATGGAATTAAACAAAAGGGGTTGACGTTATAGATTAAGACCTTTTTCAAAATAATCACATTTGAATTAATGAAGGGAAAATTGTATAATTTCTAAGAGATACTGCTCTATTAATTATTCATATCATTCATATTATATATTCCACTAATGAGGATATTAAAGCTATTCAAGATGAACGTCCTGTATATTGGCATGAAGATATATATATAATTGGAAACATTTCTAAATTCAGAATTAAGACTCTCTAGTTAGTTTCTCTGAGATCATCAGAGTTTAAAAAATTGCTTATAACATAGGCAAGATTAATTCATAATACCTAAATTTAAGTCGAATATTTTGTGGGAGAACATAAAATTCCATATTTATGTAATATCCAAACATCTTTTTCGCTTATTCTCCTTTATGCTTCAGTCATTCTAGCTCAAATAGTCAACTGCACAGCCTTTTTTCCTTTCGAGATGTTTTGAATAGAATATTCAAAATCAGTGAACCTTATATGTTTCACCACTGTGCAGTATCTTGCTTGGGCATAAATAATTTTAGCTGTTGGGGAATGTTCGAGGCAAGTATTATACTTCAATAACTTTCATAGCTTCAAATAAATTATAGAAAATATTTTTTTCTTTTTTAAATCTGTCAGTTTCCTGCTGCTTCAGTGTGTTTTTGTTTTATTTTTTAAAGAACAGTATGTTACCCAGGCACTTGATAAATATTCATTGTGTGTGTGTCCTCCTTCTATATCTCATGTACTAGAAAAATAGGAACAAGGCTTTATAGAATTAGATTCATTGATATAACTTTAGAAGAAAATGTTACCATTGCTATTAATCATGCTTGCAGATTTCCCCTCAACAAAATAAGTATTGGCTACAGTTCATTTGATGAACTTTAACATTTTTTTTTAATTGAAACTTTAACAATTTTTGAACAGCTCGTAAATGAGCATTAACATGGCTAAGTGTTACAAGGCTAAGTGATATCTATAAATGATGAATTTTATTCCACTGTTCATTCCTGTTGATTCTACCTTCTAAATACATTTTGAATCCATTCATTTCTCTCCAAGCCCACTGAGCCTATTTTGGTTCTGGGTCTTCACCATTTCTGTAATAGATGAACTATTACAATGATATCCTGACTGGCATCTGTGTCTACTTGTCTTACTACTTCTAACTTTTAATCTATTCACCACATTACAGAGTAAAACTAAAAACTGACAAGATAGTGTTAATTTCCTGACTTAAAATTAATTACTTCTCTGTGGCCTAACGATAAAATTTAAACTGTTGAAAATTAAAGTGGTTTACAAAATCAAAAGAACTATGGTTACTTAAGCCAGACCATCTAAGGTTGGCTGAATGAACCATAATCGCTTACCATGAATTCTCCTCCCAGACTGAGAAAAGTCTTATATAGAGAGTGTAAGCAGCAAAATAAGACAACAGCAAGTGCCTAAGAGCAGGGGTCCCCAACCCCCAACTGGTCTGTGGCCTGTTAGGAACTGGGCCACACAGCAGGAGATGAGTGGCAGGATAGTGAATGAAGCTTCACCTGTATTTGCAGCCACTCCCTAATATTATCATAAACGCCTCAGCTCCACCTCAGATCATCAGGCATTAGATGCTCATAGGATCACCCATCCCTAGTACCAAAAAAAGATTGGAGACCACTACCTAAGAGGACTTGGGCCCCTTAGAAAAGAAATTTAGGGAGTGCAGTATCAAAATTAATGAAGGCTCCAAGGCAAATGTGTGATCGTCATTATGCCTTAATTATTCCTGTA